GATGTGTTCTACCCTCTGCATGCCTAACTTTCTCCATATTTTTTTCTTTATTAAAATCATTATTTTTTTGCCAGAAATTCAGACGAGGCTCATCGGTAGTTACGGCCCGGTTTAAAGATTTAGGTGTATTTGACGGGACACACATTCCTATTAGCGCACCTAGAGAGTTCCACGGGAACTACATTAATCGCAAATCTTTCCATTCAGTAAATCTACAGGGTATACGTGATAGCAATAGGCATTTCTTGTATAATCTTTTATGTATTTTGTGGATGGCCTGACTCCGTTCATTTCTCTCCAGTATTCAACAACGCAACGAGGTGTTCCCAGGTAATACACATTTACTTGGTGATTCCGCGTATAATCTAATTAAAATATAGATCTCTGATTTCGTTAAACTACATGTGCTTTTGATTTTTGTATGTACATTGTATCATAGATCAAATTTATTCGTTCAGTGTATGTTCACTAGTGTTAATATGTCTTTTGATTGAGTTCAGCCATTTCAATTGAAAATTTATAGTGTGTCTTTCTATGTTGTGATGTTACACTATTGTTTCAGATTAGGATGAAGGTTGGTACCTATTAAAAGTAGCTTTGAGCTGTTGCTTGCTACACGAGTTATGCCTCTTACAAAATGTACATGAATGAGTACATTGAAGAGGGGGTTAGGGAGATTGAAGAAAGAAATAATTTTTGTGATGTACATAGTCCGTCTGACACTGCAGAGTCGAAGATGTGATGTTTACCTGAAATTAAAGCATAAAATTAAACTTAACCAATCTCTGAATTCATTATTGGTAAGGCAGCAACCATTTGATTTTCTGGGGGTGGGGGGGGGGGGGGGGGGGGGGGGCTATGGATGTTTTTTCCGGACAAACTTTTTGTTTCGCCTTCGGCGAAAAACAATCTATTTTTTGGCGACAAGTCGAAAACAATTTTTTTCTTTCAATTTTAGCATTACATATAGTGGCAGCTGAGGGTGAAACAAACATTTGTTATTTCTCAGGGTCAAAAACAAATTATTTTTTTCTCCAAAAACTGGAAACAAACTTTTTTTCCAAAAAAATCCATAGCCCCCCCCCCCCCCCCTCCCAGAAAATCAAATGGTCGCTGCCTAAGATACTGACAGACGCACCAAGTCAAATTATAAAAATCTCTGTTAAAATGAGATGTGCAAACTGCATACCAATATCAATGAATTATCAACGGTGGTTTCCCATCAACATACCTAATCATAAACTCTTACATGTTACCTGTCAAATGTTTCAGTGTTCATAGACCAATTGGAGAATAAAGCCATTTTTTAAATTTAACATGACAATGAGTTATGCTTTATGCTTAATTTAATTTAATGCAACAACATATAGACCAAATATCACGGACCTAGAAATGTAGACCTAATCACAAATTTTAACAATTCTAACTATTTCATTTGCTCTTGTTTTCATAGGCTATTTCCATTTAATTCCCAGTTTTGAATTATAGCATGTATAGAAAGGTTTACATATTTTTGTTTTGTTTTATCGGATTGTTATCTCATAAACATTTATTCGTCATCTCAGTATTTTCCAATTCACAACAAATAAAAATTAACAATTTAAAACGTTTTTTTTTTTAATTGTCAATTCATACAAAAAGACAACTGTCAGACTAGAAAAAATAGCAATAACAGAAACAAATGAATTGTGTTTATAATGAACATTTATTATCTATATAAAACGATGTGTAGCTAAAAAAACACCAAACACAAAAAGGTTATACATATAAGTATTGAAAATCCATTAAAAAAAATCAATTTGACCATAGAATCTGCATAAATTTTTTCGCGACTACTACACTGCATCAACATTGCCTCCATTTAAATCCTAAACCGAAACCACAAACCACCCATGAACGTAGTTTGAATAGTTTCTTGAACCAGTTTCGGTTTGAGAATAACAAACGGCAAACCAGTTTCAGTTCGAAACCAGTTTAAAACCGGTTCTCATTAACAAATGGAAAGTTTATCAAACTAAAACTGGTTTTGCACTAACAAATACGCCTTAGGCTAAACCTCGGTGCTACTTTTAGGTATGCACCCAGATCTACAACGTACGTCACGAGTCACGTGTTATTTGTAAGTTTCCAGCCGCCATTTTTGGAATTTTGAAGCGATCAAAGGTAAGTATTCTATGATTTATTTGCCATGAAAGCATGTATCGGTAAAAATATATAGACAAGCACATAACAGGGGTCGATACTGACATGGTTTAGCATTACTGTTTCATGTTAACACGACTTAACTTTTCAAACACTCTCAAAAACCGTGAGCGGATCCTGCATCTGTACAATGTCAACATTGACGTTTGTGAAAGTACTATCTTTTCCCTCGTAACAGAATGATAAATATCCGAGGGGGGGGGGGGGGGGGGGGGTACAAGTCAAATCGGCACCTGGTTAAATCGGCATCTAGTCAAATCCAATAATATTTCATTATTTGATACAATATAAACAGATAAATAATTCAAAAAATCTCAGTAAAAATGTATAAATGATCTTTCTATCTTTAAATTATTGTTGGGGTTTGGCTTTAATTTATATTACTCATTACATCTACATATAGCATGTATAGTTAAAAATCACCAAGCAGTTAGAATACATATTATAAGTTTTCTCAACAATCTATGACTGACGTTTGAATAGTTATCTTTTCAATTGATATTAATAACTTTTATCAATTACAATTTACAGTTATTATTACATAATTTATTAACATGTTTGTTTGTTTTAAATCTAAACAGGTTGTTATTGATGTTTTTTTACTTTAAAAACTTAGTAAAATACATGAAGCCATTACACAAGCTGTTGTTGTTTGATCATGAGAAAATTAGAAGCAGGAAAAGGGGAAATTATGAGTCCCTTTCATTACTATCACTAATCAACCTTGAATGTCAATTAAGGTGTTTTTTTTCAGGAAAGTTTAAACAGCATTAAACCAACAATAATGGAAAATTCTCCTTTAGTCATGTTGGTTAAAACAGAGACATATATATGTCTCTGGTTAAAACATGCATAAAAATATCTATAAATACCGCGAATACACATCAAGTTGAATGGAAAAAATACATGCACAGAAACCACCCAAAAATGAAAATAAGTCAATATTTCTAGACAACGCCTTGTTTATTTTAATCTATTTGCTTCAAATACTGAAAATATTTAACATGGGTGGCGAAATGACTACATCGGGTGCCGATTTAACAAGGTACCAATTTGACCAAGTGCAGATTTGATCTCGGGTTACATTTGTACAAGGAGACAAAATTCAGCTAAATACCAAAATTGCAAATACAATTACACATAACCCAGAGATCATTATTTGCTTTCCAAAATAAATTACTGTACCAATCGGAATTTTAGCCTGTGACCCTTTGCACAGAAAGTCTCTGCTCTACCAACTCAGCTAAATGAGTAATCCACAAGCACATGTTTAAGTATCAACAAGGTAAGACCTAATGACATACCGGCAATGTCAACATCACTTACCCTGGCTGTGTAAGTGTAATTTCATTCCACCCTGTTTTTATTCCAGGTGACTGTTTTTCACTAGAGAATATTGGATGTAAATAGTGTGAAAGCGTCGATCTTGATCATTGTTTTTGTCCAGCCTGTGACTATTGTCGCAGAAAGCTCGACATAGGGATAGTGATATGGCGGCAGCGTTAGCTAACTTCTTAAAAGCTTTATATTTTAGCAGGTAGAAGACCTGGATGCTTCATACTTTGTATAAAGATGCCTCATGTTACGAAGTTTCCGTCTGTCACATGTCCATTGTCCTTGACCTCATTTTCATTGTTCAGTGACTACTTGAAAAAAAAGTTAAGATTTTTTGTAATGTTAATTTCTCTCTCATTATGAGTAATAGTATAACTATATATGGTAAGGTATGTGCGTAGCTTGCAAGGTCCTTATGCCCGTCAGACAGTTTTCACTTGACCTCTACCTCATTTCATGGATCAGTGAACAAGGTTAAGTTTTGGTGATCAAGTCCATATCTCAGATACTATTAGCAATCGGTCTTATATATTCGGTGTATGGAAGGACTGTAAGGTGTACATGTCCAACTGGCAGGTGTCATCTGACCATGATCTCATTTTCATAGTTCAGTGGTTATAGTTAAGATTTTGTGTTTTGGTCTATTTCTCTTATACTGTATGCAATAGGTCTACTATATTTGGTGTATGGAATTATTTTATGATGTACATGTCAGTCTTGTAGGTTTTATTTGACCTTGACCTCATTTTCACGGTTCATTGCTCAGTGTTAAGTTTTTGTGTTTTGGTCTGTTTTTCTTAAACCATAAGCAATAGGTCAACTATATTTGTTGTATTGAAGAATTGTAAGCTGTACATCTCTGTCTGACATGGTTCATCTGACCTTGACCTCATTTTCATGGTTCATTGGTCAATGTTTAGTTTTCTTGGTTAAGTCTGTTTCTTAGAAACTATAAGCAATAGGTCAGCTATATTTTGTGTATTGAATAATTGTAAGGTGTACATGTATTTCTTGTTTGGTTTATATGACAGTGACCTCATTTTCTTGGATCATGTTAAGTTTATGTGATAGTTGTAGTAAAGCTTTATATTTAGGACTATCAACATAATATCAATGATTAGTATTTAAGAAGGCGAGACATTTCAGGATGTGCACTCTTGTGTTTATATTAGACCAGTTTATTGTTTAATACATAAATTAATAGGTTAAAATTAGAATAGTTTTCAAGGAACCAGTTTCATTATAAATAGATATTGACATTGAAGATATGATTTTATATCGAAGTCTACCAAAACGCAAATGCACAGAAAAACTTTAGCAATCCAGTATATATGAATATTGCAATTTAGTGACAATTTAAAAGCATATATTATATGATTTAATTGATGGTTTTCATTAGAAAAATTATCAAAATTTAATTTGTAAATAAATCATTATATTGTGTTATCATGTAGTGTTCAAAGTGAGTACTACATGTAAAATAGTTCATCAGAAGACATCACTGTATATGAATCTTAAATACTTAAGTGTGATAAATCCCAGTTCAAAGTAACTAGTGCAATCATTCCAGGTACAAAATCACTAGTCAGTAGTGTAATAATTCCTGGTTCAAAATCACTAGTGTTATTGTAAGCCATAATAGTGTCCTGTGAAAAAGTGTCCAGTTGGACAGTTTTTCATAGAATTTTGGTATTTAATAATGTCCATTGCCATGATATATTGTCCCTCAAGTAGACAGATTTTTACTGCAAAAGTTATGAAATAGTGTCCACCCACAGGACAAGTTTTCATACTAGTTGCTATTAAATTGTGTCCTCCAAGGGAAGTAATACAAAGGTCATTAAAAAGTTTTATTGTACTTGAAATTTTAATAAAATCAGAAGGATTGAGTAGAAATTGATTTATATAAACAAACAAATAATGGATGGAAGTGAATATAGATACATTTAAGTTCTAAGAAATACCCAGCTAATGCTAATAACAATGAAAGAAGAACAATAAGAAGGGAGTGTGTAAAGTATAAAATCAAATGTGAAGAACTTAACTATATTTATCATGAGAAGAAGGCAAAAGAAAATATTGAATTTTGGTATTAAATAATAATGTCCATTGCCATGCAATATTGTCCCCTAAGTGGACAGAATTTTACAGCAAAAGTTATGAAATATGGTCCACCTACAGGACTAGTTTTCGTAGTAATTGTTATCAAATTGTGTCCTCCAAGGAAAGTAATATTGAACAGCATCTGTTACTTGTTTGAATTTAAATCATTATACATGTATATATATATATATATATATATATATATATATGTTGAAAACATATACAAGTCTAAATTGAAAACGACGTTCAAACCTATGATTGCGTTGGATAAAAACCGCAATTTTTATATGTGTGCATATATATATATATATATATATATATATTAAAAAATAAGAAGATAAGGATGGTATGAGTGCCAATGAGACAACTCTCTGTCAAAGTAACAATGTATTTAAAGTTAGCAATTACAGAATTATAGTATTAAATAATGTCCATGTTCATGGACACTTTTTCATACCTGAGGACATAATTTCATAGGAAATTGTGTCCGGGACACATTTAAATAAGTAAATATTGTCCATGGACAGTATTTACTATGAAATAATGTCCGGTGGACATTATTTCATGGGGACATTAATAAATCCTACATTATCAGAATCCTGGTTCAAAACATTTATGTGAACATTCCATGGATGAAAAACACTAAGTTTACTTTGTCCATTTTTTACATAAATCAGCTATGCAAGTTAAATAGTTAATTCAAATATCCCCCAAAAATACCAAGCCCCATTTTTTATACATTTCCCCTTCAAAAAACTCTCTATAGAATTTTATCAAGAGTGGTGAATATTTTACTCTGGACCTGGATTAAAAACCCTAGTGAATTTTTGTTGGTGGATTATAAACACTTGGGATTTTCATCCTCCACTGGCGGAATCAAACCACTGTTACAACTGCATGTAGGTTTTACTTTTAACCAGTCCCTTGGTTTTTTTGTGTGTTGCTTAAGTGTTTTGTGTGTGGTTATAAATACACTTTGAAAATATGGAAAAAAAATTCAAATAGTTATAATTGCCATATAATAATAATAGTATAGGTAATATAATAATTTTTTTTTTTTATTACATATTGTGTGAAAAGATTGATTATGCTAATGGTTTGTTTATATTTTCTTTGTTGAAGCTCCGTGCCTAGACTGCAGTTTTTGGCAATTCTCAACATTAGGAAAGAAAACTTGAAAGAAAACTTGAAACAGCAACCAAGATACAGATACATGTATGAACAGTTATTGAATATGTAAAACTTTTATTTTAGCGTACTCAACATCACCTGATTTTGTACTTGAATTAACGTTTTCTGGCTTTCTAATGAACATTGAAAATTTATACTACTCTTATTGGAGACTCAGTTGCAGCAAATTACATTAAATTTAAATTCAAAAGAACACACATTCTAAAATTGAGAATCATTTGAGAACTGAAATGGGGAATGTGTCAAAGAGAAAACAACCCCACCAAAGAGCAGAAATAATCCAAAGGCTACAAATAGGTCTTCATCTCTAGCCAATGTAGAATAAACAATCAGCACTATGCACAAGTCCTAGTCACATGTCAGAATAGGTACATTGTAAATGAAGAAACTAAGCAAAATGACCATGATACATAAATTTACAAAGTTCTACTATCAGTTACTGGCATGCCAGTTCCAGATTTGAACTAAACTGATTGACAGATTATGTCTTCATCATATGAAAATCAAGCATAATCCCTCCTGTTTAGGGTGTAGTATCATACCATGGTTAAAAATATGAGAAGAACATAAAATTGAGAATGGAAATGGGGAATATGTCAAAGAGACAACAACCCGACCAAAGAGCAGACAACAGCCGAAGGCCACCAATGGGTCTTCAATGCAGAGAGAAAATCCTGTATCTTGCCAATACCGGTACCTGGTTTTAGAATAAATGTGTTTACATCTGATTTAACGACCCTATGAATGAATCAATATTAATTCCAAAATATGCCATCTTTAATTACCCCAAAACAGTATCGTTACTATATATCCCTTCTAAATAAGTCAGATTAAACTTTTATAAACTGAGGTTTACTGGGGTGACTGACAACATTTTTGTGCTTTGTATAGAATATTACCATAAAATATTTGATGTGAAATTTAATTGCACATCCAAAGTGAAATACCTGAACGTATAAGATGTCTACATGTTGATCTTTATTTATGAATGATGTCCTTGTACCGATTATAATATTTCGTAAATGTTTTGACTAGTTTGTGATATCAAAAACTTTGATGTAATAATTTTCAGTAATACAGAAATTTCTTCCATTAAAATCAAATATGTTGTTACATACACGAGCGAATCGAACAAGTTCAGATATGTATAAACGTTACTCCATAAGATGGAGAGAATTGAATGTCAATAAATGTTTCTTATAATTAGTTCTTGAATAAATTCCAGTAGTATTGCTTTTTTCAAAGATAATATTGTATTATGATGTCATTTTGTGGGGAAAAAATCCCTCTAAACTATTCTATTAGTTAGCTAATTATTCACATACATGAATAAATCCTTATTTTCAGGTACATATGCCCTTAAAGTTTTTGATGAAGTTAAGAGCAAGATACTATCCCATCCAGCAGTGATACGGTATGACCAATTCCCAGACAATATGACAAAGAATAACAATTGGACACCAACAGTTCACATATGAGAAGATGTTTTTAGGGTAAACCACATTGCCGGTCTTCAAATGACACAGAAATTAACAACTATAAGGTCACTGTACCCCTTCAACAAAGAGCAAAACCAACACCACATACATGACATAGTCACCTATAAAAAGCCCCAAAATAAAAAAAAGTAAAACAATTCTAACGAGAAAACTAATGGCCTAATTTATGTAAAAAATAATATGTATTACTCAGCAACAAATAACAACTACTGAATTCGTAACATATGTTCCTGACATGGGACAGGCACATACAAATGTGCAGGATTAAACTAGTTTGAAGATGCCAACCCTTCCCCTAACCAGGAACAGTGGTGTAACAGTACATCATAACAACAAACTATAAACTTTAAATCAGTTGAAAAAGGCTTAACTCATCTCATGGATACGAATAGAATTACATGTAACAAAAACACAAATTGGACATGGATGAGTACTTGTACATCCCAACAACAAAAACTAGAAAACTAATGGCCTAAAGTAATTAATGAACAAAAAAATGAACGAAAAACAAATATGTCAAGAGTTTTGTGCCGACCACCTTTCCATCAGGTGGTCAGCTTTTTTTTCAAATTCCGTTTTTTTTTTTCGGTTCCACACCGTAAAAATTTAAATACTAATTGCGCCTCGCTGATTTGTTTTCATAGACAAAAATGGCAGATCGTCAAATTTCAATGTTTTCTTTTATTAATCGGGGGAAGAGAAAGGCAGATGACGATGGTGATAAGGAAAATTCTAGGCCAAATAAGTCAACTAAAATGGATATTTGTATTGAAATTGTTGAAATTGAAAAAAAGCATCAAAACAACGGAAAAGGCACGCAAGCGAAGATAAATATGAACAGGACTTTAAATGGCTAATCGTCACAGAGGAAGATTATTACTGTTCTGTGTGCCAAAAATACAGCACTAAAGCGAGGAACAGGACAGAAACTTGGATCGATAGGCCATGCATTCGCAGGAGAAGGGAGTCCTGCAAAAGCCATCTAGCTAGCTGCTATCCGAGATGCACAAAACTAATTTGTCAAATCAAATCAAAGAAGAATATTTGACAGTTTATGTGACTACATCTATTTATTTTTGTTCAATTCCATTAAATGTGAATACAATACTAATCCTTCTTTTTGTGACCCCTACCCACAGTAAAAAAAAAACCAGGTTGGAAATGTTTTAAAAAAAACAACACCCCATTGCAAGTGTTTTTTTCAAAACACCCACCTTACCTTAGTGAAAAAAGGGGAACACTGTATGTAACACAGCAACAATGGCAATTAATTAACCACTGAATAACAGGGTCCTGACTTGGACAGGCACAAACACTTAAAGTATAGATCTGAGAGTACTCACAGTTACTGACAGCTAGTTCATGTAGTTCAAAGCCAATAACAACTAATAAAAAAAATCATGCATCTAAGACTAATTAAATTATCAATTAATACACATGCAACATCCATATATATGTATATAACTATATGATATTTAGTTTGATTTTAATTTACTGATAACAAATCAATATTAATACCAATAAAAGCAATATTCAAAGATCTAATTACAGTGTTGATTTTGGTAACCTTTTCGAATAAGTTTTTTTAAAGGATCTATAAGTTTACCTGGATCGTTTCTAAATTTCTGGGCTAGGAAAACAATTTAACATATGATCAACATATACATTTGTACTCATATTTGTTCTTTTTTTCTTTTGAGGCAGACTTCATACATGTACAGGAGCTTCTAAGGAGGAATTGAAAAGAAGATTGCATTATCCTTAACTTCACATTTTGCTATAAAGATGATTTCCTTTTATTGAATAATTCAAAGAATGGTGACTTTGTTGAACGCATGTATCCCATTGAACTTGAAATAAAGGATTCAACAGATACAGGTAAATCTGCCTCATATCTTAACTGACATCTAGAAATAGACAATGAGGGTCGGTAAAGAACAAAACTTTGAAGACTAAAGAGATGATTTCATCTTACTAATTATGAACTTTATATTTCTGCAGTTACCACGATCCCAATATGGCGGAGGTAGAAATAAGTAAAATCGATTTCTGCTAATTTTCCGTTTAAATGTGTTGTTTTCAAGAACTACTCAGCCGCCAGGTTGATCTGTATGGTTTTGTTGTGTATGTGTGTTATAAATATCATGTATGGCCTCATTACCGAAATAATATCCATCAAATATTTTAGGAAGATAATCGTAACTTAAATAAAAAGATATGGTAACTTGTGGACAAATCACTTGAAAGATTAATTGTAACTGCAGAATATTTCAATGATAATAGCTGTTGATTTTGATTTAAAAAAAAGAAAATCATCACTGGTGTTAAACTGATCATAGAAACTGCAGTTACCACTATCCCAATATGGCTGAAATAAGTAAAATCGATTTCTGTTAATTTCTCTGTAAACATGTTGTTTACGAGAATTAGTCTGCTGCTAGCTATGTTGATCTGTTGATGGGGACAGCGACTATATCTAAATGTTGCTTGAAAGTTTGATAGTGTTACCAGAAATAGTGCATACATAGTTATCTTAAACTAATTTACTTTTTGCTTTGTAGATATATATTCTATATATTTCGCAAAAGTTTAAATTGAGGGTAAATATTGATTGGTATTGAGTATACTTAAAGAGGTAAAACATGTACATGTATTCATTAATTTAAATGATTTTAAAGTTTTATTAGATAAAAAAATCAATCAATCAATAACCGTTTTAGCGTGCCCTTAGTACTGGCAACTTGGCTTGTGATACTCTCTGGGACTTGCAGTTCACTTACAGATATATCGACCTAGTAGTAGTTATAAGATTTTAAATAGTTACAATGATCTGGCGCTGCAACAGATGTGTATTTGACAACTCATATTAAGTCTTTTTTAAGTGATTCTCTAGACCAAAACCTAATATGCTACAAATGTCAATTGCCATAATTTGATCAAACTATCTTCTGTTTTTCTGGACAACTTGATATATCCTCTCTCTGAAACACAATTTGTTTTGACCTGCATCTCATTTTAGAATATAACTATGATTTCCCATTTTATGTTATGGCTTGATGGACAGACCGTATATCAAAAAGCTGTGATTAAAATAACTTGTCAATATTTTATGCTCAACCTATATATACCTATCACAATTTTCACAATAATTAAAAAATAAACATCACAAAAAATATTGATTTAAATGTAAAGTCCTATGCATACCAGTTATTTTTTTTTTAAATGTGAACTGTAGAAGCTAGGTCATTATTTGTATTGATATGCCAGGAATAGATTGTCATTATTCACAGTTATACTGTGGAACATGCTTTTTCCCCAACTGTCAAAATTATATTAAAAAATGTCTACTTCTTTCAGGTGAATCCTTGCTGGGTCATTGAAAAACCTACTGGAAGTTCTTCTGATACTGGAAATTGAAAACAAATGGTCAGTATGATTACATTACCAGCATTGTATAAAATTCCTGTGGTAAAGAGGATATCGATTGCTTGGGTAAATGTCAAGCATAAATACATTGTACTTCATTTCCACTTCATATTGACATTGTTGATGTCGGTGTATAAGATGATAATATGATGTTTTACAGTATTACAAAGGAAAATAATAGATTGTAAATTACCCAAGTTTATTCTCTTTATTTATATCTTAATTTTCTCTTTCCTTAGTTACAAATGTTGTTTTAACTTAATTAAGTGAGTGTTGAATGTAAAAAGATAGAGATGTGGTATGATTACCAATATGACAGCTATCCACAAATGATGTGGATATAAGGGACAATAAATAATGCCTTCAACAATGAGTATTAAAGATCTGAACTTGACAAATTAAAAAGAATAACGACCAGATTTATGACAAAATAAAATGAAAAACAATTAATATGGAAACTAACCACTGAATTTCAGGCTCCTGGTTCCAGATTTTGGACAAGCACATACAGATTTTAATTTGGTTTAACTTGTGAGCACTTAACCAAGGAATATTAACAATATGTAACAAAAAATCTCTCCTTTGGCTTACCTTCTATTGAGTTCTTGCATAGAGTTTTCCATCTATCAGGAAACTGACTTATTTAATTCAAGAAATCCACAATTATTTATTTTTATTTTTCTCTTTATATATTGCATTTTTTCCTTAATATATCAAAAGCTATAATAGAAGAGAAGAGAACGATACCAAATGAACATTCAAAAGACCAACAGACAACCAATAGTGCACAAAACATATAACAGTAAAGACTGAGCAACAAGGACCCCACCAAAAACTGGGAGTGTTCTCAGGTGATCTGGAAGGGTAGGCAGATCCTGCTCCACATATGACAATTGTATAGATGTAGAGATAATTTAACTTGGTTTAACTTGTGAGCACTTAAATATCAAAAATGGTCTAGTTTCTGGTGTCAAAATTTATGAAACCTGAAACTGTATTAAATGTTTCTCTTTTGTTTGGGACAGAATTAAGTATTTGTTTATGTGCATCACTAAAATATGCAAGACAGGCCCTACACCTGACAACCTCATGTTTTTTTATATGACTGCAAAAATATTTTGGGGTTTGCATAATGCTATGATGCTGTCGTTGTCGTCGTTGTCTGATGACACATTTGGTTACTGGACAATAACTTTAGTTAAAGTGAATTGATCTCCATGAAATTTTACAAGAAGGTTCAATACCACAAAAGGAAGGTTGGGATTGATTTTTGGTGTTATGGTACCAACAGTTCAGGATTTAGGGGCCAAAAATAAGTATTTTTATAGTTTCTGGACAATAAACTTGTGTGTAAGTGTATGTGTAGGATTAAATAGTGTCCCCCATGAAATTATGTCCCATGGACAAAATTTCACGGATATGACCTGTGAAATTTTGTCCAGGACAGAATTTTATTATAAAATATTGTCCACTTCTGTGTAAAAGTGTCCCTTGAAAAGATATTCTATTTTAACCTTTGTTGGATATTTTTTCATAGTGAAATCATGTCCAAATTGCATAAAAGTCTTGTCTAATACCAAACAATTTAATTACAATAAATAATAAGACTAAATCTACATTTGTTTTTAAATATACAGTAGGAATCAATGAACTGTTTTAACATCTTTGGATTGTCATTTTTAACAAGATCAATAATATCATGAATAATATTCATAAATACTCGATTGTCGCTTCTTCTTGCGCATACGTTTGGGTCTAAAAGGCATGTATATAAAACATTTCATTGTTTTTAATTTCAAATTGCTTGGCCTTCCTTCTAAATGATCTTCTTTCATTATTATTAAACTCTGGAGAGTATTGACCATCAAACAAAAAGTCATATAGCTGTTTATATTCACCACTTTCCATATTTGTTCACATCTGTTGTCTTGATTTAAATTTCAATTATGATTTGACTAATTGATTAAAACATTTCAATGATTGCTAAATTATGTCCCTTCTTTAGGGACAGAAAAAACAGCTACACTATGAAAAATTGTCCCATGTGACATATTTTTATAAAACATCTATGAAATTATGTCCAAGTACTAGGGACAATTTTTCACTAAGGGAGACACTATTTTATTGTCGAGCCTTCGACTTAAGTCGAAAAAGCGAGACATAGCGATCCTACATTCCGTCGGCGGCGTCCACAAATATTCACTCTGTGGTAAAGTTTTTCAAATTTTAATAACTTTCTTAAACTATCCTGGATTTCTACCAAACTTGGACAGAAGCTTGTTTATGATCATAAGATAGTATCCAGAAGTAAATTTTGTATAAATAAAATTCCATTTTTTCCGTATTTTACTTATAAATGGACTTAGTTTTTCTGCCAGGAAATATTACATTCACTCTGTGGTTAAAGTTTTTAAAATTTTAATAACTTTCTTAAACTATCCTGAGTTTGTACCAAACTTGGACAGAAGCTTGTTTATGATCATAAGATAGTATCCAGAAGTAAATTTTGTAAAAAAATGAATCCATTTTTTCCTTATTTTACTTTTAAATGGACTTAGATTTTCTGCCAGGAAACAACATATTCACTCTGTGGTTAAAGTTTATAAAATTTTAATAACTTTCTTATACTATTTTGGATTTGTACCAAACTTTGACAGAAGCTTGTTTATGATCAAAAGCTAGTATCTAGAAGGAAATTTTATAAAAAAATAAATCCATTTTTTCCGTATTTTAATTTTAAATGGACTTAGATTTTCTGCCAGGAAACAAAACATTCACTCTGTGGTTTAAGTTTTTAAAATTTTTATAACGTTCTTATACTATTTTGGATTTGTACCAAACTTGGACAGAAGCTTGTTTATGATCAAATGCTAGTATCTAGAAGGAAATTTTGTTTTCTTCCAGTTAACATTACATTCAGTCTGCAGTTAAAGTTTTTAAACATTTATTAGATTCATAAACTATCCTGGATTTTTACCAAACTTGGACAGAAGCTTCTTACAATCAAAAGATAGTATCAAGAGGAATATTTTTATTGATTTACTTCCTCATTTTTGTTGAGCCTGTGATTAACAGAAAAAGTAGGCGAGACACTGGGTTCCTCGGAACCCTTACAAATTTTAGTTTACAATATTGATATTCTGTCCCGTGAACGAAATTTCACAGATGAACTGTGAAATATAGTTCAAGAAGACACAATTTCATGGGACAATGGATCTCTCTGAAATTATACCACAAGGTTCCATATCACAAAGGGAAGGCTGTGATTGAGTTTGGGGGTAATTAATTGCCCCAAACATGCAGGACTCAGGGGCAAAAAAGGGGCCAAAAACAAGTTTTGTTTTCTAGTTTCCAGACAATAATTTGTGTTTAAGTGTATGGATCTCTCTAAAATTTGCCTACATGGTTCCATTCTACAAAGGGAAGGCTGGGTTTGAGTTTGGGGGTAATTGCTCCAGGGGGGGGGGGGGGGTTCAAACTTTTTTTAATTTCAAATTTTTTGTAAAGTTTTAAGAAGAAATCTTTAAATGCACAGTATTGCGCAATTGATTTTTAAGATCTTTGACAACATTTGTTTCTTGTCAGAAACCTGTATTATGTCAAAAATTTGATCAGAATCCAAATTCAGACAGTAGCAAGCTTGAATATTGTGTCCAAATTTGCCCCAACTGTTCATGGTTCTCCCTCTGCGGTCGTATCAGGCTGCGCTCAGCGAAGCATTTCATTAGTTTCTTTGTTGATTTCAAAGGTATAGGGAAATCATGAATTTTAAATATCAAACAAAGTAAATATATCTTGTAGTCTAGTGTGTTTTAGTTGCATTGCATATCATATCTGTTATCCCTTGTAAAAGAAACTTTTCTTACGTTAGACTATATTTTTTTTCACAAAATAAAACAAATTATTTTTTCATATTACAACAGGGACAGCATTTTTTTTTACCACCACCACCCACAGAAATAAAAATTAATTAGAACAACACTCCCTTTGCATTTTGGTATTTCAAATACAACCACCCACATAAAATTTAAAAAAAAATACCTTCACTGGGGGGACATAATATTTTCTGGAACAGCCCTTATATGTTTTTTGGGGGACATAGTATTTTCTGGAACAGCCCTTTTATGTTTTAGTATAAAAAAAATAGATTTCAAATTTTATCTATTTCAAGTTGATAAACACAAAAAAACCTGTGATAAATTATCTATATTACTCCAACCCAGCTAGATATCAGATGTGGTATTAAGTTTGCCAATGAGACAACTCTCCACCAGAGACCTAATGATGTAGATGTTAATGATAAACCACACATTGAAATGCCTACCTGCTCATTCTGGATATGACATCAAATTTTTCATTATCGAAACAAAATACATTTTACTATCTGTAGCTAGTAACATTATTTTTATACTCTTCATAGATTAGTTTTTGCAAATTAAACTATCTCTTGCAGATGGATTCTATAATCAGAGGGGAGATGTGAAAAAAATCTTTATTAAAGTAGGTTGATAATTCAAATTGAAAAATTCAATTTTAGCACTAACAGGTGGTTTTGCATTTCATTTATTAAAAGTATTATAATTAATAATAGCCATGAAACAATGATTTTATTTTCAGGTCATTTTGGAAGAAAATTGATAGAGGAAAGATACAGATATACAAGAATTTCATATTTGAAATGCACTTAATATTTCTTTTGTATATGATCACCAAATTTTGGCAGTCAAATAAGGCCAATTAAAATTAATTGATAGATTTTCATCCCCACCCGCCCCTCTGAAAATGTCCCGCTGCGATTTTTTTTAATGTTAAAAATATACGATTTCCGGATTTTGTTCATTTACGTTACCGGTAACCGCCGATAATTTCGATTCATTTAAACTTCCTTTTTCAAATTTCGGTTTTCGTATTTCTTCGAGTAATATAAGTCGACATATTCTTCTGCTCAATGATGACAACATTATCTTTTGAGAATATAGATTGATTACTATAGAAGGACATAAATTATTCGGCTTACGAGTAATTGGCGTTGTCCAAGAACGGTAATCACGGTTTGTCACAAATTTCAGTGAATATAAAACCGTCGATTATTTTATTTATACAATGACATTGTGTAAGGAAATTTAGACTGTGAATGATATCCAAAGCGCAAAAATTGTGGAACACATTGATACAAAATCATGACTGGAATAAAGAAATTAACACAAGCACGAACTTGTGCGATTTATGACCGTATATTGAGTACAAAGAGTCGGCCAACGTACAAAATGTATTATAGCTGCCATGGCTTAGATTTACCTCCAAAGCTGTCATTTCAGCCCTTCAATAGAGTTATTAAATAACTTTTTTTTTTTGGTTCAGTTCATGTTTTACATTGTAATTATATTTGCACCTTGCATAAGAATCTTAAAAGCATGAACCCTAGTATTTTCAACACAGTTTGAGTTTTCATTTCACTCTGTACTCATAATATTTGTGTTGCATACCAATGCATATGCTTCATTTTATGGGCACTATAAATCATAACTTAGAAAGCAAAAAATGATCTATGTAGTCTAAAAGAGAACATTTTTCCACGTTTTTGCTATTTACTAAAAATTGGTTTCTAAAGCGGCAATTACATGTAGAACAATGGTTGCCAATCGGAAATATTGATTTAAGAATTAAAACAAAAATGTAGAATTCCTTATATAAACATGATATAAGCTTATTATTACCCTTGTACATTGTGTATATGAACAACACGTCTCAAAATGGTTAAGGAGGAAATAAAAATTAAAAAAATAAATCCTCCCACCCGCCCCATTTTTTTCAAAAATCTGGATGAAAATCTTCTTATTAATTTTAGTTGGCCTAATGGTATCATTGTTATCTTTGCCATATAAACAAATATACCTGGTAAAATTTGTTCATTAGAGGAAACTTTAATTACAAATATCTATTCACATTAAATTTAGATGATTTTTTTACCAATTTTTTAATTTTAAAAATAAATCAATTGTTTTTATTCTGTGGGATTCAAAATGTTTTGCCATTTATGATAATCTATTTATTTTGAATAGTCTGAAATACATTTCATGAAAATTTCAAATTCAAAATAAGGCCTCTACAGTGCATACTCCATCACAAATTGAGGTAATGTTAGTATTGATTCTGAGGTAAAGGAGTAGGGGCATTAAGGCCCAGTTTTGGCACAAGAAAATAAAATGTTTGACAACTTTTTCAAATTGGCACATAATGTTTGGAAATGCATTGAGTGAAGAAATATAAATGAAAAACATAAGATTGTTTATATGATGACGTCACAGTTACGTCATAATATGTACCGTTTTCATGAAAAAGATGAAAAATGCAGAATTTTCGCAATTTTTCATCGTTATTTCCATTACGGAAACATCGTGCGCAGCCAAGAAACAACAAAATAATTTAAGAGAAGCTTTATTATAACTATTGAAATAATCTCACCAAATATAAAGTTGTTTCTTGGGTGCGCACATACTTTGCCAATCTTAAATATACTTAGAATTTGATGAAAAACAAGGAAATTCAAGAAATTTTATAAAATATACAAATTTCGTCATGGTTTGTTGCCATGGTAGCTCGTTTAATGTGAAATTTGTTTTTATTTTCTGAAAACCTTGTACCTTAGTCTAGTTAGGACAAATTTAAGGATATGTATGATAACTTTTAAATTTGCAGTAATATTTGGGCCAAATAAGGGGCTTATTGCCCCTGCTCCTTTGTTGCATTTATTATTTTAATGCGGTCAACATATTGCTAGGTCATCATATTAGTGTGTCCAGCATATTGTGGATTCATGAACAGTAATGAGTGCAAATTAGCATAAATATGTGGTCAATTTATGCTGAGACTACATAATTTTTTATTTTGGTTATTATTATTAGTATCCACAGTTGTTGTGCATCATAAATTTTTAGAAATGTCTTCTTATAACAGCATTTTAACAAAAACTTATATATAGATGTATTAAGATAAATTTAGTAACTTGTATTAGGACGTCAGCAAAAATTGATAAATAATATAGGCCTATTATGTATTCCATGGGACAGATTTTGTTTTAGTCCATTTTTGTATAAATGTTGCACCTTTATTTTATCTTTTTCTAGATTTTATATGTGGCTCCACTCCTCACCCATTGACATGCTGGTTAAAAAGTAAAGAACACTATATATATATGAATATTTCAGCAAATTATGGTGGCAAATCTGTTAACTTTTTTAGAATAGTCATAAATTTTGCCAAATTATGCAAAAAATATTGTTTTAACAAAAACCCACATACATTTTAGTGGAAAAGCCCTCACAAACTTTCATTGCTTATTAGCATAGATGCAACAAGAACATTAACTAGTTGATTTATAAATTGTAATGTTTGTGACTCATGTTGACTGAAATGACATTGTATGAAATAAAGTTTGTGCCAAAAAATATTATTACTAGTTTGAACCCAGTATTATATGCAAGTTATTAGTACCTTACTGATGAAGTCAAAGGGAACTATAGGTTTGCACGCCGTTTGTCGGACTATCAGATCAAGTTAACAGTTTTCCACACTTTTTCGTCAGGCTTGAAGATATTTATTTGATATCTCTTGTATAGTTCTGATTGAATGCATTTGTTTTATTTTGTCTCCCCTGTGATGAAACACTATATTTTGGTGTATCGAATGATTGTAAGGTGTACAAGTCAGTCTGACAGCTACATGAACTGTACCATATTTTTATGGTTCATTGGTTAATGTTAAATTCTCACAGTTTGGTCTGTTTCTTAGATACTGTAAGCAGTAAGTCAACAGTATATGATGTATGGAATGATTGCAATCTGTACATTATATATGGTCTGATATTGAACTCATTTGTATGGTTCATTGGTCAATGATCAATTTTCATACTTGCCGGTACTTTGATTTCTCAGATGTTATCAACTATCAGATTTAGTGTGTGGTACGATTGTTTGGTGTATATGACCTTGATCCAACAGAGATTGTGGATTTAAGCAATTAAAGATTATCTGGCTTTCAACAAGGAACAATCGAATAACTCTGACTCATTTAGGTGCATGAAGGTTGTATAGAGTTTACTTATCGAAAAACTGTTTCATTGATATGTGAACGTTATATAGGTTCTATGCTTATCTGATAGCTCGAATAGCTCTGTTTCATTGGTGTATGAACGTTGTATAGGGTTATACACCTCAAATAAATTTGTCTCATTGGTATATGAACGTTATATAGGGTTTATACCCATCGAATAACTCTGTCTCATTGGTGTATGAACGTTGTATAGGGTATATACCCATCAAATATTGCTGTCTCATTGGTGTATAAACGTTGTATAGGGTCTATATCCATCAAATAACTGTCTCATTGGTGTATGAACGTTGTATAGGGTAATATACCCATTACATAATTGTCTCATTGATGTATAAACGTTGTATAGGGTCTATATCCATCAAATAACTGTCTCATTGGTGTATGACCGTAAGGTTGTATATTGTTTATACCCATCGGAAAAACTTTGTCTCATTGGTGTATAAACGTTGTATAGGGTTTATACCCATCGAATAACTCTGTCTCATTGGTGTATGAACGTTGTATATGGTATATACCCATTATATAACTGTGTCTCATTGGTATATGAACGTTGTATAGGGTATATACCCATCGAATAACTTTGTCTCATTGGTATATGAACGTTATATAGGCTTTATACCCATCGAATAACTCTGTCTCATTGATGTATGAACGTTGTATAGGGTATATACCCATCAAATATCGCTGTCTCATTGGTGTATGAACGTTGTATAGGGTATATACCCATTACATAATTGTCTCATTGTTGTATGAACGTTATATAGGGTTTATACCCATCGAATAACTCTGTCTCATTGGTGTATGAACGTTGTTTAGGGTTTATAACCATCGAATAACTCTGTCTCATTGTTGTATGAACGTTATATAGGGTTTATACCCATCGAATAACTCTGTCTCATTGGTGTATGAACGAATATAGGGTTTATACCCATTGAATAACTCTGTCTCATTGGTGATTAACGTTGTATAGGGTATATAACCATTATATATAACTGTGTCTCATTGGTATATGAACGTTGTATAGGGTTTATACCAACTGATTAACTGTGTATCATTGGTGTATGATCGTTGTATAGGGTTTATTCCCATGGAATAGCTCTGTCTCATTGGTGTATAAACGTTGTATAGGGTTTATACCCATCAGATATCTCTGTCTCATTGGTGTATGAACGTTGTATAGGGTATATACCCATTATATAACTGTGTCTCATTGGTGTATGACTGTTGCATAGGGTTTATACCCGTTGAATAACTGTGAATCATTGGTGTATGAACGTTGTATAGGGTTTATACCCATCGAATAACTCTGTCTCATTGGTGTATGAACGTTGTATAGGGTATATACCCATCAAATATTGCTGTCTCATTGGTGTATAAACGTTGTATAGGGTCTATATCCATCAAATAACTGTCTCATTGGTGTATGAACGTTGTATAGGGTAATATACCCATTACATAATTGTCTCATTGGTGTATAAACGTTGTATAGGGTCTATATCCATCAAATAACTGTCTCATTGGTGTATGACCGTAAGGTTGTATATTGTTTATACCCATCGGAAAAACTTTGTCTCATTGGTGTATAAACGTTGTATAGGGTTTATACCCATCGAATAACTCTGTCTCATTGGTGTATGAACGTTGTATATGGTATATACCCATTATATAACTGTGTCTCATTGGTATATGAACGTTGTATAGGGTATATACCCATCGAATAACTTTGTCTCATTGGTATATGAACGTTATATAGGCTTTATACCCATCGAATAACTCTGTCTCATTGATGTATGAACGTTGTATAGGGTATATACCCATCAAATATCGCTGTCTCATTGGTGTATGAACGTTGTATAGGGTATATACCCATTACATAATTGTCTCATTGTTGTATGAACGTTATATAGGGTTTATACCCATCGAATAACTCTGTCTCATTGGTGTATGAACGTTGTTTAGGGTTTATAACCATCGAATAACTCTGTCTCATTGTTGTATGAACGTTATATAGGGTTTATACCCATCGAATAACTCTGTCTCATTGGTGTATGAACGAATATAGGGTTTATACCCATTGAATAACTCTGTCTCATTGGTGATTAACGTTGTATAGGGTATATAACCATTATATATAACTGTGTCTCATTGGTATATGAACGTTGTATAGGGTTTATACCAACTGATTAACTGTGTATCATTGGTGTATGATCGTTGTATAGGGTTTATTCCCATGGAATAGCTCTGTCTCATTGGTGTATAAACGTTGTATAGGGTTTATACCCATCAGATATCTCTGTCTCATTGGTGTATGAACGTTGTATAGGGTATATACCCATTATATAACTGTGTCTCATTGGTGTATGACTGTTGCATAGGGTTTATACCCGTTGAATAACTGTGAATCATTGGTGTATGAACGTTGTATAGGGTTTATACCCATCGAATAACTCTGTCTCATTGGTGTATGAACGTTGTATAGGGTATATACCCATCAAATATTGCTGTCTCATTGGTGTATAAACGTTGTATAGGGTCTATATCCATCAAATAACTGTCTCATTGGTGTATGAACGTTGTATAGGGTCTATATCCATCAAATAACTCTGTCTCATTGTTGTATGAACGTTGTATATATAGGGTAATATACCCATTACATAATTGTCTCATTGGTATATGCACGTTGTAGAAGGTTTATACCAACTGAATAACTGTATCATTGGTGTATGACCGTAAGGTTGTATATTGTTTATACCCATCGGAAAAACTTTGTCTCATTGGTGTATAAACGTTGTATAGGGTTTATACCCATCGAATAACTCTGTCTCATTGGTGTATGAACGTTGTATATGGTATATACCCATTATATAACTGTGTCTCATTGGTATATGAACGTTGTATAGGGTTTATAACCATCGAATAACTTTGTCTCATTGGTATATGAACGTTATATAGGGTTTATACCCATCTAATAACTCTGTCTCATTGATGTATGAACGTTGTATAGGGTATATACCCATCAAATATCGCTGTCTCATTGTTGTATGAACGTTATATAGGGTTTATAACCATCGAATAACTCTGTCTCATTGTTGTATGAACGTTATATAGGGTTTATACCCATCGAATAACTCTGTCTCATTGATGTATGAACGTTGTATAGGGTTTATACCCATCGAATAACTCTGTCTCATTGATGTATGAACGTTGTATAGGGTATATACCCATCAAATATCGCTGTCTCATTGGTGTATGAACGTTGTATAGGGTATATACCCATTACATAATTGTCTCATTGGTGTATGAACGAATATAGGGTTTATACCCATTGAATAACTCTGTCTCATTGGTGATTAACGTTGTATAGGGTATATACCCATTATATAACTGTGTCTCATTGGTATATGAACGTTGTATAGGGTTTATACCAACTGATTAACTGTGTATCATTGGTGTATGATCGTTGTATAGGGTTTATTCCCATGGAATAGCTCTGTCTCATTGGTGTATGAACGTTGTATAGGGTATATACCCATCAAATATTGCTGTCTCATTGGTGTATAAACGTTGTATAGGGTCTATATCCAAAAATAACTGTCTCATTGGTGTATGAACGTTGTATAGGGTCTATATCCATCAAATAACTCTGTCTCATTGTTGTATGAACGTTGTATATATAGGGTAATATACCCATTACATAATTGTCTCATTGGTATATGCACGTTGTAGAAGGTTTATACCAACTGAATAACTGTATCATTGGTGTATGACCGTAAGGTTGTATATTGTTTATACCCATCGGAAAAACTTTGTCTCATTGGTGTATAAACGTTGTATAGGGTTTATACCCATTATATAACTGTGTCTCATTGGTGTATGAACGTTGTATAGGGTATATACCCATTATATAACTGTGTCTCATTGGTGTATGAACGTTGTATAGGGTATATACCCATTACATAACTGTGTCTCATTGGTATATGAACGTTGTAAAGGATTTATACCAATTGAATAACTCTGTCTCATTGGTGTATGAACGTTAAATAGGGTTTATACCCATCGAATAACTCTGTCTCATTGGTGTATGAACGTTGTATAGGGTCTATATCCATCAAATAACTCTGTCTCATTGTTGTATGAACGTTATATAGGGTTTATACCCATAGAATAACTCTGTCTCATTGGTGTATGAACGTTGTTTAGTGTTTATAAACATTGAATAACTCTGTCTCTTGTTGTATGAACGTTATATAGGGTTTATACCCATTACATAACTGTCTCATTGGTGTATGAACGTTGTTTAGGATATATACCCTTTAAAACTGTGTCTCATTGGTATTTGAA